ATAGGCTCTAGCTCAAGCCGCTTTAATGCCTCCCTCCTAAAAAAAAAAGTTACTTTTCACTTCACACTTCTTTTTTTTTTCCAAAAATTGTTGAAGATTTCCGTCATTCCCTATTCGCTGTATTCGAAAAAGACCGAAAATTTTTTTCGTTTTCTTTCTCCAGGAAAATAAGCTTTTTTGTTATCATATAAGAAAACACCTTTGAGGAAGTCTTAATCGATGTTAACAAATTTTGAAATCCGACTGCTTAAATTGCAACTCCAATTTTTTTTTTATTAAAATATGTCTGTATGAAACTTTTATTTTCGTACATAGTTTGTGTTTTTTTTTTTGTATTATAGTTCCATCCGATATCGATAAACTTCAAACTCGTCTATCTGATGATAAAAATACATTAAGCACTATTTGGAAACGAATTAATGATAAACGATTACCACCTATACCAAAATCAGTTCTAAGTGTAAATTTATTTTTCTCTACAAGAAACAAAAAAAAAAAAAGAATTTTTTGTTATTATTGAATTTAGAATTATTTTGATGTTTTACTTGATTATTATGAAACAATTACATCAAATAAAATTTTATTAAATCAAATTGGTAAAAATCTTCTTTATCTTTTACAATTAGTTAATAATGAACAAACAAAATCCAATATACTCAATCGATTAAAACAATATCATGTTATATTAAATGAACAAATTGAAAATGATAAATTTTGTCAAGTAGATTTATCATTTGTATGTTAATATTGTTGTTTTTATTTTTGTTCTCAATAAAATTTTTTATTTTTCGAATTAGATTCTTTTTTTAAAATTAATTGCTCATCTTTATCCAACATCAGATTTTTTACATCCAATAACAACACCAGCAATAACATTACTTGTTCAAGCTATAAATCATGTATGAATTGATTTTGTTTTGTTTTTTGTATAAATTACGAAAATTTAAATCTGTGTTTTTTATTTTTAAAAGTGTTCTCTCAAATCTCTTGGTTCATGTCGACAAGTATTATTTTTAATTGATTTAATAAAACAGGTATGATGATTTTAATTCTAAGAAATTTATTTAATAATTAAATTTTGATTCAATAGTGGATATCAAGAAGTCATCGTTATGTACCAGAAATAATTGTTTTATTAATTAAATTAATTCAACTTGCATGTCCGATTGAAAAATCTCAATATTTTATATCCTCTTCATCGAAACAAATTGAAAATAATCAATTACTTGTGTTGAAGAAGAATATTGACTTGTAAGTTAACAACGTTATTCATTATATATCGGCTTGGTAATGTCACCACTTAGGAAATTAAAAGCATCGATTAAATAGTATTTTCCTAAATATAAAGGAAAACTAGTTTACGCCAATCTTTTAAGAGCGTCACGAACTTTACAGTCGCACCAAAGATTTGAACCTATCCGATCCAAAGTTTTCGGACGCAGTTGATCAAACTTTTTTGGACCTGGACTCGGTTTATTGAAGTTTTTCAGACCCGAACCCGGTCGAGCTCCAGTGAAAATTGCTTATGTAACTATGAAAATGTAATTTGAATGCGTATAAATGATCTTTTGGTTTTAAAAGACAACGTTTGAAATAGATTGAATTATTTTGATTTTAATTATTATTCAAAATCTATTTGGTGTTCTATTCGTTAATTCCAAGGAGTTTTTTGAAATAGATTCTCTGTCGAAGATATATTAAAGGAACTTGCAGAAATTTTAAAGCATTTAGATTAGTATGTAAGATTTATAAACCAGCCTTTTCAAGACTGGTAAAATTGCGCTTGGACAAGCTTCAATGTCCAAAAACTTACTCAAAGTAGAAACGAAAATTATATCAAATATAGCCAACGAAAGAGTAAAAACTTCTCTATAAAATGGTATATTAATAAGTAGTCTACTTTAAGTCATTTATCAACATTTAGTATTCTGTTATGATTGCTATGAAAAACAGACTTAAAAAGTAAGTCTGGATGATTGTCCTAAAACTTTGATTCTTATGTCACTTTATAGAGAATAATCTCACATTTAATTCTATGCATAAAACGTCGATTTTTTTAGTCTACACATAATTTTCACGTTTCTAAAAGGTCGACTCCATAACTCCTAGAGAAATGTTGAACCTATATTTGGAAACAATACAAAATTTTGATTCAAACTTAATGTTTTAAAATTTCTGCAGACACTAAAAAATAAGTGTACATTTTATTAAACTACTTTTCGATAATTAGTTATTTCTAGTATTCGACTTTGTTTCATTGAGATGAATATAAATGTGACCTGAAAAGTGGATCTGTCGATTTATATTACGCTAAAAAAAAAACATACTATTAAAATTCTCTTATAAATTATTTAGAAAACACATCTAAATCTTATTGTTTTCATGAACTATAATAACCTTCTTATATAGAAAATAATAATATTATACAAAAATCTTCAGAAAACAAAAATATCGATTTTATTATCACTAATACATCCCGATGAAAATAAGGAATAAACTATATACACATGCTGTGGCTACCCACTGAGTATTGTATTATAAATACTAATTAGTTAGATCATTTACAACTAGATACAAGGAACACTTTGTCCTTGAATATCCTCGGAACGATGATTCTCGTCAGAATTCTGGTCACCGTAATACAGCACCATATGCCCAGATCGATCAAAACGACAACTTTACGATAGTAAACAAACTGTATAGGGCCGCATATGATCCATAATCTTACTATTACGTAGCTGAATTTCTGCATCCAGTATTATGACGATCTATGGGCCGTATTGTTCAACTAGGATGTGACTCTTAAATAAAAAAGCCTTTTTTTTTGGTTTTTTCGAAAAATAGGACACTATAGAATTATTTTAAAAATTATTAGAAATATAAAACAACTATGAAGTCATATTACATATGAATTGAAAATATTTTTTAGATCCAATTCAATTAAACTAACAATTTTTGATACCAATGATCTTGACGATAATAATGATTCTCATCGGTAAGAAGAATACTTTTATCAAAGAATTAACTATTTTATTCATTGGATTGAAAATTAAAACAAAATCATTCTTTAATCCTAATAAATTTCTTTATTTATAAAAATCAAACAAAAAACTTTCGTCATCACTTTTAACGATATTTCTTTCACTTTAAATTTTTGAATTATATCAAAACTCGAATTATAATTAATTGATTTATTTTCTATTATAGTGCTACAATTCTTCAAACATATCTCAATCATCTAATTGATTTTCTTCAAATCTATGAATCACTTTCAGCTATTGTAGAAATTGCTGAACCATTTAAATCTTTTCTTGTTACTATTGCTGATACAACAAAATGTAGTCAAATATCAGTAAAAAAGAAAATTTTCTTTTTGTTTTTTTGTAAGTCTCTTATGAATTTATTTAGTCTCAATGTCGAGAGATTTTAAATTTAATTGATACAAGTAAAACAACATGTCTTACTAATCGTAAACATCTTGAACAAGGCAAAGAACAAGCAAAAATGTTAAAATTATTTGAACCTCGTTTTGGACCAGTGTATGTTGAAAATTTAGGATTTTTGTTTTTTTCAAAATTTTCTTGATTTTGAATAATATAGATATGAAGGTAAAAAGAATAGTCGTCTACCAAAGGAATATGATGAACGTCTACGTCTTCGACGAAAATATAAACGTGAACATAAATCTGTTACTCGTGCACTTGTACTTGATACTGAATTTATAGCACGAGAAGAACTTAAACAACAAGTGGAAAAGTATGTTTTTTTTTTCTTTGTCGAGAATTTTATTTATTTTTCTATAGAGATACTCAACGAAAACGCAAAGTCAAAGATATTCAAGCACAATTATCAATGCAAGAAGGAGAATATCGAAAATTACAAAAAACCAAATAATTCTTATTGTTATTGTTTGTTTTGTTTTCAAAATACAACAAAAAAAAAAAAAATAACAGAATTAACATCTTTTTTTTTTGTTTTGTTAAGTTTTTTTTCTCAATTTTGTAGATGACAGATACTGATCGATCTCAACCATTGAATGTACCTCGTGCTGGTCGTTCATCACGATATCGTACACATAGTTCAGGTAGTTTGTCATCTTCATTTGGTTCTCCATCGGGTTTAACTAATATAAATAATACAAATGGTGGAGCAACATCAGTACATAGCAAAAAAACGGCTGCTAGTTCTACTGGAAATAATAATATTGGTTCAATATCAACCTCAATGAGTACTGGTACTAGTGCTGGTACATTACCACAATTTGATGAAAAACATGCTGCAGCTGGAAATATTTTTGAACATCGTCAAGATTGGTCAATACTTAATCGTCTGCCATTACATAAACGAAATGCAATACATATTCGTCTTGAAGATGAAGGTCCTTATGGAAATGATGAAACACGTTGTTTTGTTTTATCACAATTATCAATGGTCGGTTGTACAGATGTAACATGTACAGTTTGTGGTCAATCAATGGTTGTCTATGATCGATATCCTCTTGTTGATGGTACACTTTTTTTAAGGTAAATTTCACTTAAGTGACATTGCCATAGTGACATGACCCAGTATTATTCAACATCTGCAAAACAGTTATAATGTCAAACCAGAGATAAAATATCTATTATTGTAGAAAATCAATTATACAGACATTAAACAATTGTTTAGTAATTTGTTTTAACCTTTTTATTTTCTAGTCCTATCAAACATAGTGATAATGGAAAAGTTTCTATTGCTGTTTTTCATAATGATCGACAACTTTATTTACATGGCATATGTCTTGAATGTTTATCCATGCGTTCATTACATGTACTTTGTCGTTTATGTAAGACTAAATTTAATTTTGATCCAATTATTTTCGGTACGCTTTATTATTATGGTATGTTGATTAGTCTTTTGTTTATCTATTATTGTTTTCTTTTGTTTTAAAGATCTGTTTGCGGCATTTCCATGTTGTCAAGCAAGATTATCATGTTCGAAATGTTTTCAACCAATTGTTTCAATAAAAGATGGTCTTATTAATTTTAGTAATTATTCATCTGAATTTGAATGTGGTCATTGTGGATCGAAAAATCATCATTTTGTTAAGCCATTTGATGAAACATTTGAAAAACGTTTGTAAACTAAAATCATTTATCTTAGCTACGTATACATGTAACTATATTTTTTTAGTTAGTTTATTGATTTATCATCTATTCTCTTTTCTCCTTGTAAATAAACCGATTTCGAACAAAAAAAAAAAAGAATATTTTTCTCATCAGTGACTTGTAATTATTGATGACGAGTTCAATGTTGAATTGATAACTATGTTTGATACATGTATATCTGTGTATCATTATATATCTTATCGAAATATAACAGTATTCACATGTGTATAAACTTCTAATTGACTTGAAAAATAAAATGTTGATAAACAAATGAAAAGGAATTTATTGATATAAAACAATAGACAAGAGTACAATTGTACCTTGTTTTTTATTTCTAATATATATGTGTCTGATTATCGTTATCTTATTTTGCTTAGGTACAAAGACGTTTATTAAATGACAAGACATCAAACCACAATGTATAACGCCTACGAATGTGTTTGTCGAATTATCCATAAGACGCGTAGTACGTAGGAAGGCGCTATGGGTATTATCTTTTTTGCACTTTAAGAAGAAAGACGGAGAAAAAAAAAAAAGAATAACATTAGGCAGAAATATAGAAAGAATATATGTATATATATATTTAGAAGCCATTTGTCTTCTGATTTTTGTTTGGCGAGCGCAAAAAGAACAAGGATAGATTTGTGTTTTATCACTGTTTATTTGCGTTTGTGTGTTTTCTTAAAGATTCTATTCTGGTAAGTAAGAAAATCAAATACTTTTCTGGTAAATCGAATACCAAAATTGGAAAAGAATGATTGTATATTGATTAAAAGAAGAAAAAGAAATATGATACACTTCTAATGTATATCTGATAGTTATTTTACATATGTATTATTAATGAAGAAGTAATTAATAGAATAAAAATAAAACTATTAAATATAATTTTAAATAAATTTTTTTTTTCCAAAAGCTAGTCTTTAAAGAAAAGATATACTGTTCCTCTTAGCATTGATATTTAGCTATATGTTTCTATTATGAAAATGTCAAGGATTTATCCTTGTATTCATTTATTTAAGGTTATGAGATCATCATAACTATTCTTTAAGCTATAGATTTATTGTTTTTCTTTCTTTTTCTATTAAGAATAATAATTTTGGTTATATGCCAAGTATATTATCTATTTCAATCTAAATCAATAAATTAATAATAAATAAAGTTTTTACTCATATATTTGAGTATGTTACACGAAAATAATACATCGATAAAATATAAAATTACTAATAACAATAAAAATACAACAACAAAAAAAATCATGGGACGTAAAAAGATTAATATAACTCGTATTAATGATGATCGTACTCGTCAAGTTACATTTACAAAACGAAAATTTGGTTTAATGAAAAAAGCTTATGAATTATCAGTATTATGTGGTTGTGAAATAGCATTAATTATATTTAATAGCAATGGTCGTCTATTTCAATATGCATCATCTGATATGGATAAAGTTTTATTAAAATATGCTGAATATAATGCACCTCATGAATCATGTACTAATGTTGAGATTGTTGATGTAAGTATATATTCTTTTTTTCTTTTTTTTATCTTCAATTAATTAAATTTATTCGAACAATAAAGATTTTAAATAAAAAACATTCAACAATAAAACCAACAATAAGAATTAGTAGTGAAGATACTGAATTTATTGAACATGATTATGAAAGTAACGACCAAACCTTTGCTGAAAGTGTTAATAGTGTAAATATATTACAAAATGTATATATTTCTGATCATCATTATTAATTTTTTAGTTTCTTGTCAATAGCAATCTTAGTTGCTCATCATCAAATAACAATAGCCATGATATGACATTCCTTAATAATAATAATAATAATAATAATAATAATACAACAACAGTTTTACCTGATTTTCAATATTTAACATCTTCGTCTGATGACAAACCATCATCATCAACAACAATAAGAAATCACATTCCCAATTATCCTATTCCGAAATCTATTGATATGAATCAATATAGAAATAATTTTACTAATGTTCCCTCAAATACAACTCATGTAAATAAAAAAAAACAAACAATTTAAATAATAATACAGAATAACAACAAAAAAAAACAAATTGTGTTTAATTTTAGGTAACACAATCTCCACATGCACCGATAAATCATTTTATAGCTCAACAAGCAACAACAACACCTATTAACCGAATTATGACTGGTTAAAATAGATTGTTTTAATCTATCAAAAAAAAAATTATTTTTTCTTTTAATTTTTAATTCTTTTAGTTGGTCCGGATATGAGTGTTTCATCGATTGACATAAGTGCACTTGCTTCACAATTGACATCAAACTTTCTAGCATCCTTAACTAATGCTACTGTTGTCACAACTAATGATAATTCATCATCATCAACTATTCCTATTAAGTAAAAAAACACAACTCTTAGTACAATCCCTGCGGGATTAAAATGTGAAACACGATGTAATTGCTGTTGCTAATTTTTTTCCATGTATCTTCGGGCATATTTCTTCATCCTTATTTTATTTAATACAAAAAGAAAGTAGTTAATACATTGTAATGAGTCGTTGTTGGTATACGGTCTGTGATCGCATATCAACAGCATCTGTTACAGTCTGTGATCATCTCTGGAGAGTATATACTTCAACATTCCTTTTAGATCGTGTATCACAACACAAATATATATTGTAAATTTAAAAAGAAAAACAAAACTTTTTTTTTTTTTGTTTTTTTTTAATCTTAGTTTGATTAATCGAGATTATCCAACAACAAATATTGGTACAGGTCAAGCAATTATGTTAACTAATAGTCCTAATTCAATTGTATTTACTGGACAACAACAACAACAACCACAAATACAACCAATCTGTCGAAATCTTGTTAAACAAGAACCTATGCTCTATAGAACAACAACAACAACCTCGACTGTTGGTAGAAATGATTTGTGCTATGAATCGAATATAAAACAAACTCATTTATGGCAATAATTCGATATACATTTCCATCGAAATAAATTCCATCTAGAAAAACCAAAAACAAAAAATTTCTCTCAAATAAAATTTCACAATTGAGTTTCTCTTCCCCGTAGATCATTATTTCATATATTACCCATTATATTCTTGTAATTCATGATATACCTTTTTTTTTTCTTTTATCTATTCCGAATATTGTTTATTTTTTGTTTTCTCTTTGTTTGATTTCGTGTTTTGTTTTGGTAATCCTTTTCTCTGGAGATAAGGTATACATCTATTTTAGAAAACTCAAATTTTTTCTTGTGTTATTAACAAAAAAAAAGAATAGTTACTATCTAGAGAAAAATAACAAAATATTTTTTATTTTCAAGAACAAATTATGAATATTTGAGTCAATTAAAGTTGGTAAAAGTACATTTCCTCACATATTTTTAGTGGCTGTGTATACTGTCGATAAATATGAGAAAAACTATTCGTTAGCGACGCGATTTCGCAGAATTAAAATACGTGTATATCAAGATAATAAACTTTCCTAGAACTAATTTTTATATGTTACATGTATGTTAAGTTACTCGAAATACACTGAAAAAAATCAGTACTAGCAGCCATTGTTCAAAGGAACAAAAAAACTCCGAATTGAGACAAAACTAAATAGTACATTTTATAGATAACTTTCGATGCTACAAAATCTCTATTCAAAGTTTTTTTCTGAACACGTCTAAATTTTTCAAAAAAATCAATTTACTCTTCGTTGGCGACGTGATGAAGTTAGAATCCATCGGGTTCTACTCGGGCCCGATCGAGTCCGGATCCAGAAATTCTTGGATTCGATAGACTCTAGACGGAGTACGAATCTACAGACGAAACAATACTCTTAGAACAGAATGCGAAGTTCAAAAAGTATAAATCCTTCCTCAGAATTTTTAGATGATATTAAGATAAAAATATTTGTTTTGCAAATTGATAGGATCTCTAGAAAATCGGTTTTTAATGGAGATTTTTTTTTTCGAAGTTTGATCTTGCTGAAAATTTTGTCATAGATATAGTTCTGGCAGTAGAGTGTATTCTGAAGTTTTCGAATTTTTTCTTCATATGATTAGAAAGATATTCGCAAATTACTTGTTAATTAACTAATAGTCAACTGTAAAATAGTTATGACTGTTAGATATATCTATGCTAATAGAACTTATTTAAAAGAATAATCATTGTAAATAATCAAGATCAAATGAAAGCTTGATATATTCCGATTTGCCAGAGATGATTCGTATAAAAATAGTTATTTTTTTTTTCTGCTCAACATCTTACTAGAAGAAAAATTGTTTTGTTTTAGTTACTCAATTGTCTTTTACATCTGATAATACTAGTATCTGATGGATATGTTTGTTCTATTATTTAATAAAACCAAGGTCAACAGAATAAGATAAAAAAAGAAAGAAATAGATAGTGTTTATGTGTAAGAATAACGAAGACTGTTTTATTTTGATAAAACTCTAGATTTTAAAGTTACACGTGACTCATAATAAAAATAATATGTTATTATATACTTTATAAACTAAAAACTTTAAATAAATTGAAATATAGAATTGTTATTTTATAAATTTTATTGAATAAGAAGAATAGATTATTTTTCATAATTCAAGTTTTTTATAATTTTATTTTCAACTTAGCAACAAATGCAAGAACAATAATCTATTCAACAAATAATAATCAACAATTTCAGTCATGAGACGATCATTCGATATTCATGAAACATAATCGAAACAAAAAAGAATTTGATAAATCATTAGTTTTTCAATGTATAATCGGAAGATCATTATAGACTGAATAATGAATAGACTGGTATTAGAACGGAATTCGAGTTGTACTCTTAAACACAATGTATTCTTATTTAGTTTATTCACCATAATACAATATCATGAATATTTAAAATGATTTGATCTCAATTCTATATTAATCAAAACAATCAACATTGCTCATTGAATCTTTCTCTTGTCATGAAAACAGTATATGTAAGTATTCGTATAGAGAAAAAAACAGTAGAAGAATTAAAATAGAATAAGACAATATTTGTTAACTTCTATAAACATCTAATTTTAAAGTTTACATCTCTTATCTTCGGACAACAAAACAAATTCTACTAACAAACTCTCTGTGTTGTCTTTTTTTACTTATTTTTTTATAGTTAAAATATTTTATCTTATCATTTGTCTTATTTTACTTCTATACAAGCAATAAATTCGTATCATTTTCATTTAGTCGTCTTGAAATAAAAATGAAATATTACAGAGTCGTATATCTGTTCGTATTATTAATCTACGGATGTAATGCACAAGAAGGCACAACAATTAATCCAAGTACCTGGAATGGTGATCCAAGAATATGTACAGTCAATCCGTCAACTCCAGGAACGGATGATAGACCTTTACCAACATTTCCAAATCAAGCAGAATTTGCTTTAGAAAGAGTAGAAGTTAGACACGTATTAAATATAACATTACCAAGTCAATTAACAATGTATCAATATTTATATGATTATAATGCTAATAAATTGGTTTTAGTTAAAAATGCAAATGGTTTTATTGATGCTGAATATTTTTATTATGACACATTAAAAAAATCAACTTATTATCGTGGAGAATTTTGTGTCGTTACTAGTATTGACATGAATAAAGACATAGGTATATTCAAATATTTTAAATTGAATTTTAAATTTAACTATTTTTTTTATTTTATTTATTTATTAGATGGTACATCGGCTATTCAATTACAAGATAATACATGGCATATTCGTCCATTGAATGAATTTCTATTATTTTCCAGTAATGATCCACGACGACCACCAATTCGACCAAGATATGCAGGTACAAGTACAGTACGCGGAATTCCAGTTGATCAATGGGAAACTTGTATAATCGATCGAAATAATTTTCAAACTTTTCGACGTGTATGGTCATTTGCACAAAAAGGTTTTGATACACCAACTGGTACTGTTGGTGATTTAGCTTATCCAGTTCAAGCAATTATTAATGCTTCAGTTCTATTACCAAATGGTACACAACTTGGAGAATTTGATGAAGTATTTAATGTTTATGCATATAGACCAGGAATTATAGAAACTACTGATCAATTAGCTCCACCAAAAGGTGTATTTTGTGCTAGTGGTCCAGATCAAAATTTAGTATCACTTCAAGATGCTCGTATTCAATGGCCTGAGCGTTTTAGTGTTCGTGTTGATGCATCATCATCACGTACTCCACGATGGCAAAGATTTCATTTACGTTATGATCGTGGTCGTGAACGTAGTTCAAAACGTATTCGTTATGATTATTTACCAGGTGATGGAGAAGATTTTGAATCCGTTATACATGATTATGGTGATAATTTAACATATATTATTGATCGTCGTGTTGGTTCATGTAAAATTAATCGTGGTGTTGAATATCCTGATATTAGTCCAAATCGTGATCCAGCTAGTTTCTTTATTAAACATGAAAGTAGATTTTTTGAGTCACGTGATAAAGTTTGGGAATTTAATGGATTTCGATGTAAGAGAAAATTTTCTGTTAATTTATTAATTTGTTAATTTTTATTATCATTTTAGCATGCCGAGGTAATACAATTAAATGTGCAGCAGTAACAACTTCAGTTGATAAATTTCCTGTTATTGTTGAACCTGATACGGATAAACCAAGTGGTGAAACATGGGCAGCAACAAATATTGAATATGGTTGGTCAATGCGTGCACCTTCACAAACAGTACCTGGTACAGATAAACATTTTGATTATCCAGTATATTTATATTTAAAATTATATCGATATAATGATCCAACAAATCCATCACCATTAAATATTCGTACAGAAGATATTGAATATGAATTTTATGAAATGTCTCATGAAATACATCCAAATGATTTTGATATAAGTCTATGTTATCGTTCACTTAATTTAGAATATTTACATCTTAGTTTTATACTTAATGTTGATGAAAGTGCTATTGATGGAAATCATGTAGACAGACGTTTACTTGAAAGAGAAGTTCATGCTAATTTAGCTGATAAAATGCAAATAAGATACTCACGTATTTCTGAACTTGATATATTTCATGAACATGCTACAAATGATGTTAATGTTTTTTTTACTTTACTTGGTCCAACACCGAAACCTGAATCACCAACTCTTGTGTCTGATAATGAACCAACAGCTGCACAATCACGAGATGTTCTTAAAAAATCAATTGATGGTGGAACATTTCAATTTACAATGAAATTTACTGATGATTCAACTACAGATATTCCATTTCAAGCAGTTGTTGGTTCATTAAAAGATTCAAAACAGTATAAGTCATCTCATGCAGTCGGAAAACCAGTTATTACAGAATCATATTCAGCAGGTGCACAAGCTGGTGCTGTTATTGGTGGAATAATTGTTGGTCTTGCTGTTGGTATTCTTATAGCAGCAGTCATTCGAATTGTACGTAAAGAACCAATGCCAGATTTACCAATGATACCAACTTCATTTCAAAATCCTTTACCAAATATTAGTTTTCATAATAAAAAACAAGCAGCTGATGCAAAAACTACACCCGATGCTTAAGACTATTTAAATAAACAAAATTTTAAAAAAACTTGAATATTTTCTATTCTTCTTTTTTCTTTTCTTTCTTTTTTTTAAATAAAATAAATAAAAACAAACAGGGTAGTTTAAAATAATAAATTACTTTCATTATTAATTCGAAGATCACTATTTTTACATCGAAATTAACAATATTCATTTAGTAGATGCTCGATAGTGAACATGTAGAAACAGTAAAGTTGGTATTTTTCACTATCAAAAAAAATGTTTCATCTTATTCATACAAATAGTTTTGATAACAATAATTTCTTGCATTTAAATATATGTTTAAGCAATTAAATACGTTAGAATTGAAATAATATCTTCTATGTAATTGTGTTGATCTGCTAGAAAATTGCACCATAGATAAATCAACCAATTTCAATTTGATTAAATAGAAGTCAGGGCCCAAAACGGGCTGCCCTGCTCGGCACAATGAAATCTTTTTCGTGGGTGGATTCGTAAAAATTATTAGTCGATGCCTGTTTTAAAAACTAGACATTATCAAAAATGTTTTACGATAGAAAAAAACATGTGAATTTCAGGTCTGATTAATATGATCAATCATAATAATGACTTAAACCCGTTGTATCTCCCGTCTACATGCAATGTTCTGCAGTGCACAAACTGCATTAATTAACGTAAGAAACAGTGGCGGATTTAGGGGGGAGAGAGCTTGCGGCGATCGCCCCATATCGATAGAACAAAAAACCGGTTTTTTCTAGAAGAAAACGCTTAAAATGGAGCTAAAACGACCTTTATAGAGCTTCAAAATACATTTCATGCGAACAATCGCCCCATATTGAAAAATTTCTAGATCCGCCGTTGGTAAGAAAGTGATACACAGAAAAAAATGTGTCCAATCAAAACCGTCGTCGAGAGTAGGATCTGTAAATAACACATGATCTAATTCTTCAACTTTGATTAAGGAATGAATTCATGGGAAATATACCATTTTCTGGAAAAAAGACAATCCTTTGAATCTTGTGCCGTTTTTCCCAATTTTGATCATGCAGTATTCAAATTTGAGGTATCAATAAATTTTCTCTACCTATGCACAAACTACTTTCGACCACGAGCTAACTCACTGTATGATCAAAACCGAAAAAAACGCTTTCACTCAGGAATGTGATGGATTTTCCATAGATGTACCCCAATAAAAAATCATACCACAGGATATCGAGTTATGTATAACGACCGTTAATGTTACAACGTATTTTGTTTCAATTTTGAAAATATGGGTTAATCAAGCTCAAAATAGTACCGATTATTTGCTACTAAGTACATTGACAATTATCGAAGTAATTTCCAAAATCTATTGAGAGAAAAATCTTTATAAACGAAATTTCCTTCGGATCCGGACTGGATCGGATCAGGCTGACGAGGGAATATTTCCAGGTGTCTCGCTCCGATTTCGTTCGGTTATATATCATTCAATAGAGAATCTCGAGTAGATAAAGTCTAAAAGGATTTCGGCTGATGACTTTTTCTTCGGGAATTACAATCACTTTCCTAATTTTCCCAACGAAAACTAGCATAAAAAGAAGAATTCATAACTCCATCAAAGAAACTCATAGAGAGCCGAAATTTGTTTTGATGGTAATCTTAAGAGTTCTCTATATACTCTGAAAGTTTTACAATTCTATCACTCTCTTTTTCCGAGCTATAGGACATTTCTATAAGTAAGAGCGAGGGCATGGGTGTGGGCAAAGGAAGTACTGCTGCCTACACTCACACTCATATCCTTACCTATAGAAATGTCCTATAACTCGAGAAAAGAGATTGATAGAATTGTAAAACTTTTAGAGTATATAGAGAACTCTTAAGACTACCACCTAAACAAATTTCGACTCTCTATGAGTTTCCTTGATGGAGTTATGAATTTTCTTTTTATGCTAATTTTCGCTGGGAAAATCAGGAAACTGGTCGTAACTCCTGAAGAAAAAGCCATCGACCGCTATCCTTTTAGACTTTTTTATCTACTCAAGGTCTTCTATCGAATGATATATAAATGAACGAAATCGGAGCGAAAATACCTAAAAATGTTTCCTCGTGAGCGAAAGTTGAATCTAATCGAACAGGCTTAAATAATGTTCGGACCACTTTGAACAGGACCGAACCACAAAAAAGGGCCCCATTTCGAGTCCTGATAAAAGTGAATTTTCTTTTGTTTAAATTGTTTATTGTGGTTCATTCAAACGAGCAAATTCAATAAAAAACAGTTTTTTTTTAAATATCTTTTAAGCGTATATTTGTGTTTTTATTTTGTTTTAGTAATTTACATAATAAATATACATATGCAAGTAATGATAAAAGATTTTCTTGCGTAAACAAAATGATAGAAAAAAACCTAGATATGAAACGTTGTAAAGAACTCTGAAAAATCATACATGAATTGTGTAGGATCTAATATTAAGATCATAGAAGGATTGTGAGGTAAGATTTTATCAAAAATGATCGCTTCAAGATGATCGAAAATATTGTTCAAGTCGCTGTTGAAATCATGCTCTTGAAACTGTTCTTGATTAAAAAAAAATTTTTTTATTCTTGAATTTTATTAAAATCAAATTAACAAAAAAAAGAAACCACAGTTACATAATCAAGTGTGACATCTTTCCTATAAATTTCTTTCAAAAAAATTTTTATTATTAAATTAACATAACAAAGACAAAATCATTTCGCTTTTTTTTTATTCATCATCCCAAAACACTATCCTTATTAGTTTATAGCGCTATCTACAATGCATTGATTTGCTTTGTACCTAGCTCCAATTGTATTTCAATTACATATCAATATTATTCATCAATTTGTTAAAATGCCACAATTAGAAAAGTAAGATTTATCATGTGTAAGGGAAATTCCCCCATCTTCTAATTCGATATATTTATATTTGCATGTAAAAAATATCTAAAGAAAGAATTCGAGTAGGGAGAGAAAAAACCATTTGCAAATCATAATAAAAAAGAATTTTAGTTGAATATTTTTTAGCCAAAAATATGCATGAATGCCAATACGATCAGTAATATTCTTCTCATTTAAGAATTAATTAAATTTTATATGTTTTTTTTTCTGTTTAGAAAACCTAATATTTCTTCACCAACTGAATCAAGTGATAGTGGCATACATATTAATATGGAACCAACAATAATAGTTTGTATTAATTAGAATTAAATTATTTTCTATGAAAATTTTTCTCTTAGACTACTGATGATACGAATCTTCCATCAGGTTGGGAACGTTTTGAAGGTAAAATTGTTCATTATATATAAATTAAAATAGAAAAAACAAAGGGTACTTTTTTTTTTATTAGATGAAGAAGGTGTTTATTATTGGCATAAACGAACCGGTACAGTAACACGTGAACGTCCAGATTTAATTATCGATTCACCATCATCAACACTATCATCATCTTCATCAAATGATACATGTTTCGGATCGAATTCATTATTATATAGAAGTGAATCAAATACTTCAATTAAAGTAAACAAAAATTACAAAAAATATGTTTTTTTTTTTTTGATGATGGAAAACGATTTGTTGATACGACTTAGTAGAAGCCGAAGTTTATTAGTATAGTGTTTAACGAAGGGGAAGGGGGACATTGCCAAGTGATAAATCCTAAAAATGTTTTTATTTGAAAAATATAATTTATCATTTTTTTTTCAAATCTTTAGACATCAGATGAAACTACTCGACAACATCGTTTTCAAGTTCGTTCTCTTGGTTGGACAACGATTGATGAACAAGATTTAACAAATGAACGAAGTAGTCGTGCTGTAAATCGTTGTATTTATGAACTGGCATGTGGTATTAATGATGGTATTGGTCGTTGGGGTGAAGGAAAAGATCTTTATATGGATATTAATAATACAGATTTACTTTTAATTGATCCAACTGAAATGACAATTTTACATAAACAATCAATACCATCAATTCGAGTATGGGGTGTTGGAAGAGAAAATTCAAGGTTTTATTTTAATTTAATTTGAAGGAATAAAATTTTTGATTTATGTTTTTATTTCAGAGATTTTGCTTATGTTGCTAAAGATAAAGATCGTTCAGTACAAATTTATAAATGTCATGTTTTTCGATGTGATAATACATCAGCTCGAACAATAGCTAATACATTACGTGATATATGTCGAAATTTAATGATTGAACGTGGATTATTAAGTAAAACAACTGAAATTTTAAATGATGATTTATCTATACATAAACGGTTATTGATAAGAAAAAGAAAAATTTATTTTTAGTTTTATTTTGATTTTTTTGATTTTATAGATCAAAATCTTTTCCAGAATCGATTACAAATGATTTACCAAGTAGGAAATCTTTATTTTTAATATATATTTGTTTTTGAATATTAATTTAAAATTTTCAGCTTCATTTCCAACACCAATGCCAGAAACAACAAATAATCTGTCATGTACTTATTTGGGTTGTGTTTATGTAGAAAAATCAGGTGGAATGGATGTACTACGACCAGCTATTGAAAAAGTTTCAAAAGCAGTTCCTGAAGATAAATGGCGTCGCATTATTGTTGATATATCTCCATCATCATTTATAATTTCCCTTGATAATGTATATTTAATTTTTAAACTTCCTTTTTTTTTCTATGATATCAAGCATTTAACTCAAATCCAAATAATGCAGCAGTTTTCAGATTCTAGAAGCCTTTGTGAAAATAATTAGTTTTTGAAGAACACAAAATCCTGAATAAAATGAATGGTAACAAAGTTATAAGTTATAACTTTGTTACCATTCGTTTTATTCAGGATTTCGTGCTCTTAAAAACTGTCAAGGTCGATGATTATGGACTTCGTATACGTCTGTATACGATCGTATTTCTTCGTGTACGACAACTTTAATCTGTAAGACATCTTATTTTACTTGACACGAATTGAACCAGGAATATGTCGCTACATCTTCAAAAAAATCAACCTACTTTGGCTAGAATATACTGAACTTATTCAAATTTGTTCTTCGTGATAACTTTTAAAATACATTGTGAATGGACTTTTTTCAGAAATTCCCCTAGGAGTACATCGGTTTATTGAAGTCAATAGTGATACTTTGAAAGTTTTTTTTTCTACGTTATTCATATGAATATAGACTAGAAACATTCCTCTATCAGTAGTAAAAAAATCAACTCATTTGGTCCAAACATCATTGAAATATTCAAAGTTTTCTATCTCTAGTGACTTTTCGGACACTCCATATATGACGTGAAAATTCTATATGAAAGCCCTATGGGAAAAAACGTCTGTTATCACCGTGATCAGCTCATCGAGCTCGATCGACTGGTATATCTTTTCTTCGTGAGAGCTGTAAGCTATTGTGTTTGCTTTTTTCACAAGGAAGGAAGAACAAGAAGAAGAAGAAGAATGCTCTTGCTTAGCGGCAGACTTAATAGTCCGATATTCTTCTCACATTTAATGTTAGTCATAGCCCTAGATAGAAGGCTAGCCTGAGACAGAGTTAGTTCTTGCGCTTCCTATACACACTAACTAACTACAAGAGCAGGTGTATGTCACAACGTAGCCAACATACTATGGGACAGTTGATTCGAGACAAATAACCGTTAATAACTTGTTCAGAGTCATTTCATGGCTATCGGTATCAAAGTTTGGCTACGGTATCTTGTCAATAGATGTCGAACAACTCAGCTATGACGGCTCGATTTTTCAGAAACCCTCCTCTCATAATTCATAGGTATATATTGAGGAAGACGTACCACTACTTGGTTTTATATTTTTGATAAATACTTTAATTAATATTTATTTTCATAGGAAACAAAAGAACAATTATTCGAATATCGTATTCGTTATTTATCATTTCTTGGTGTCGGACAAGATCCAAGGTAATTTTCTTGAATGTTTTTATTTTTTTTTTGTTTTATATTAAAAAAAATTTTTAGTTTTTGTGGTATAATTATACATTGTGTAGATAATTCATTTAAATGTCATGTATTTCATTGTTTACCATCGTGTATTCAATTTTGTAAAAATATAGAAGCTGCTTGCAAAGTAAAGAATTGTTCTTTTCTGAATTTTTTTCTTTTTATGTATTTTTTTAGTTACGCTATCAAAAATGCCTTGATGCTCATCCACAAGCAGCTAAACAAATTGAAATAACAAAAGTTTGTTATTGATTAAATTGGTATTTGATTTATTTATTTATTTATTTATTTTTGTAGAGTTATGGTGCTCAGTTAAAAAGTTTTGTTGAATCGTTTTGGTATGGGAATAAACAATCGATCTAGTTAGCTTTCTTTATATTTAGTATTTATATTCGATATCAGATCTTTGATTTTTTTTTATTATTATTCTTTTGCTGTGTGATTCTTTTTTTTTTTGTTTCTGATTAGGCTTAGTAACCTTCTTTTTTTTTCGAAATTAAAATCATTTATATGAATAATATATCTAGATTTAACTATCAAATATTTCAGAAATAGATTGTATAAATCATGAGTGAATCAATGATGAATGTTGAAAGTACAGGTAGATGAAATGATGATAAAAATGTTTTTTTTTTTTTGAATTGAGATTTAAATTTAATTTAGTTATTGATGGAAGTTTTTGTCAACCACTAGAAAGTACTCGTTTAACACGAACATCTAATGTAAGAAATTTAAAAAATGTTTATGAATTTTTTTTTTTATTTTGAAATATTGTTTTAGTGGTCACCAAATGAAACAACCATACGTTCTTCAAAAAATATCCCATGTATTACGAAATGTATGAACAATATGTTTTTTTTTTGCTTAGAATGAACATATATATACATTTGATAGTATTAATTCTATTCAAATAGTTACCTTGTATAGATAGTATGGATGTAAAATAATACGTGATTTTTTCAAACAAAAAAAAAAGACAAGAGATGATATTTTGATTAATAGAGACTTGATAAGGTAGTTTAATAACACATGCCGTCTGTTACAAGAGTAATAGGCAGATTAGCGAAGAGATGTGTAGAGCCAATTCCAGCTTATGAGGAAAGTTTCTCAACTGATTATTCGTTTTTGAATCGGAATTATGTGAACTCTAATAATTTACAAATACTCAGAACCAAATTCGAACATTTAACTTCTTGAAGCAGAGATATCGGATTTTTAAGGTATTTTTTAAGCCAATAGTGTAATCCTCCTCAGAAACACGAGAAAAATTGATTTTCGAATTTCAACTTGTAACTTTGCAGAGAAATAGACTTTTGAGAGAATAGTTTATTATGAAAGTTTCAGATCTTTTCGTTGTTCCTGTCGTCAGATATGGTTATGGCAAATGTTTGTTATTTACATTACTCACATATAACGGCAGATTCGATGTTCTTATTTCAGAATAGAAGTAAATCAAAAGACCTGAAACGTTCACAATAAACTATTATCATTCAGATCTATCTCTGTGCAAAGTTTCAACTTACAATTCGAAAATTAGTTTTTCTTGTATTTCTGAAGGAAACTACGGTATTGACTTAAAAAGTACTCTAAAAATTCGATATTTTTACTCCAATAAGTTAAATGTTTAAATTTAGTTCTGGGTATTTGTAAGTCTTTAATCTCAAAAGCAATTAATAGGTTGAGAGACTTTCCTCATTAGAGAAAACTATTTCCGAATTTATTCGCACTAAATCTAAAAAAAGCTCTAAATATTCGTGTTTTGATTAATTCAGTCGATGAATGTCACTTTTGTGTGATCTGCCTTAAATTTCGCTTTGATTAATGTAATTTATAACACGATTCACTAAAAGTCATAAAAAATTTAATTACAACTTTTAGTTTCAGTTTGAACAACTTTTTTTTCTGATAGTTCCAGTCCTGGTAATTTTTCTTGGTCTCACATATCTTTATTCATATATTTTTCATCGGGTTAATAGATTTGAGTAGCACATCACAAGTCTTGTACAAACATTAAAGAACTGTATGGAAAATCTGAGCCCGATTAACTAAAATCTATCGAAATGTGCTTTCGTCTTCGACTACTAAGATTATATTCCTATTAAACATTTTCAACAGTGAAAAAACTCAAAATACAATATCTTTTTCTTTTACGAAAGATTCACACGTTTCTTACAAAATGTGAGTTCGAAAAAAAAGAAGCACTAACTGTATTTCATCTAAACGACATACCAAAACTCGTCTTCTCTTATATTTAACTTCCAGATGCAGATCTTTGATTCACGAAAAAAAATATATGTGAAATAATTTACATAAAAATGTGTTTAATTTTAGCTGAACAACAACTATATAAATTATATGCTCAAGCATTAGCTGATTCAGAAGTAACACAAGATTGGAGTAGTTGGGTTGAAATGATGACAATTAATTGTCAAAAATGCTGTTCTGAAGCTGAAATCTCTCATCCAATTGCTTTTCGTACTGGTCGACAACCGTAAAAAAATTACTCACAAGTTACCTTCCTTTATTTGTTTCTCATTTTCATATCCTATAGACAATTATCTCGAAATATTCGCACGTTACAAATCGAACGTGATAGTTGGCTTTTATGGAATCGAGCACGTGATACATTAAATAATACCCGACAAGATCTTCCAGAAGTGGTAAATATAAATTTATTTTCATTTTGTGAAACACGATCTACGAGGAGTGTTCAAGTATATGGATAAACATTGGGATCTAGCACAGATCGTGACAAATCCTAGTTAGAGGCCATGATAGGTACATACATGTCAAATCGAAAAGTTGAATTCAACTATTCAATAATTCTATGAATACTCACTGAGGAAGACGAAGAGTTTTTCTCTGCTTAACTGACTTTTTATATCAGCGTCGCGGCGTGGTGACGCGAAGCATCCTCTTCCCCTCCGAAGAGCCGCAACCCATATGCGTCTTTGCGTACACAGTAATCGGAACTAAGTGTATCATGTTTGCATTAGTATTGAGAAAAAGCTACTGCTTTTGCATTAGCAGTAACGATCAAGATTAATGCGTCAGAATAATTGGGATTAGAGTTAATTGATGCCAAGGTGGTACTTTTACGTTAGCATTACTTTTCATTCTAAGAAATGTACTTAGTCTTATTTTTGAGAGTCTATCTGACCACTGCTATAACTTATCTGAAACTACTTGACCATGCAGCCTATTCCCTTATAGATACTACCTTGCCACGATCACTCCAGCATCTCAGGTGCTCACTGCAGCATCCCAGGTAATGACTGTAGGATTCTAGACGATACTTGTGGCATCTTAAGTAATACCTGTAGCATCCCAAGTAATGACTGTAGCATCCCAGATAATATTTTTAGCATCCCAGGCGATATCGGTAGCGTCATAGCTGATACTTGTAGCATCTCAGAATAATTGAATAGTTGAATATCTGAAAATGTCTTCAATAATTGAATTCAACTTTCAGATCTGACACTACTGGATAGATGTTAGCTACAGACCACCATAGAGGGTAACAAACATCTTTGTAACACTGTTCTTTTCTCGTGTCACAGATTGTGACAGATATTCATATGGTATGCCTGACTAATGTCGAAAAGTTCGAAGACGGCAAGGATAACATCTTAGTAATGTTAATGTTGTCGGGAAAGGAAAAATGAGTGAAACTATGTTTTGAATCAGTTTACACAAACAGTTATTTGACAAAAACTATCTAACAATAAATCATTTTTTATTTCCTAATATTTTTTTTATCTTTAACAACAATAAACGATAAATCTTCTAAATACTCTTCTAAACTTATTTCATCATTTGCATAACGATCAGCAAGAATATGAATATGTCGTTGTACACAATTTGTCTTTTTATAATTAATAGTTGCGCCTCATGCTCTTTGATTATTTGTCAGATCGGTCAATTTTCATTCGACCATTTTTACAACATCAACTCTACTAAGATTTTACCCTTTCGGCCTTCGAACTTTTCGACATTACTCAGTACATTCGTTCATATATAATCACGAACCGTATATCAATAACGTCTCGTTATAATATGTGAACTATTTCCTTATTGCATTTCTGGAGAAGGATGATGAAGAAATGTGTCCCAAAATAGATAGAATAAAACAATCTCTCTATGATTAGCAACTGCAACTATATCGTATTTCGAATTTTAATCCTGTAAGGATTATGCTAATAGATTTTATTAAATATATGTATTTTTATATTATTAAGATCCCGGGTAGTAGTGATCGATTAATTGTCGAACATCATCTTTTAAATAACCCACAATTACGTATGGCTAAAGCCGTACAAGGATGGTTACAAACAATAAAACTTGATGAACGTTATCAAACAGATATTAAAATGGCTATGACAAAATTAGAACCAAAAAGAATTTATTGGTTTGTTATTTATTTAAAATTTATTTTTATTTATTTATTTTTTTTTATTATTTAGGGAAAAGACTTGTCATTTTCTTAAATCATCGTATAATGCAAATCTTCCAAATCCATATATAACTTCTTTGGTAAAGATTAATAATAAATAATATTTATATTAAATTATGGGTTTTTTTTTGTAGGATTTTGATGCTACACATAAACAAAAACGACGTTTATGTGATACAGATGAACAAGAAGAAAATGATTTACTTCAAATAGTTTTTAATTTATTACGTGTTGGAGAATATTCTAAAGTAAATAAAAGAATTTATTTAAAATAGAACAAAACAAAAAAAAAGAAAAATTTCTTTTTATTTAAGGCTAAAAATATATGTAAATCAACTGGTTATCATTGGTTAGCAGCATTATTATCAGCTAATGAATTATATCATGATGAAAATTATTATTGTTCAGAAACAAATGATATTATTTATCCTGTTGAAGGAAATAAAAAACGTATTCAATGGATTGAAAGCATGTATGAATTGTCTATGGATGTAAGTTGAAGAAATTTAAATAGAAAAATCTAGAAAATCATTTTAGATAATTCTATTTTTTCTTTACTTTTATTAATTATTTTCTATTTATTAGATGCGTTTAAAACTTTACGAACGTGCAATCTATGGTCTTCTATGTGGTCGAATTGAAGCATTAATACCAGTCTGTAAGACATATGCTGATTATCTTTGGGCATATATTTCATGTTATATTGAACAAGAAATTCATCATATTCTAATGTATATTTAATAAAGAAAAAGAAAATTTTCTTTGTTTTTTTTTTTTTTGAAAATTAAACTTTTATATTTAGATGTGCTCATCAAAATGAATTAACTGATATAGAAAAACATCGTATTCTATCTGATAATGGAATAAGAAATCGTCAATTAAAAATGCCATTAATATTTGATGAAATTCT